GGCGCGTCAACTTGGAAGGGTAACTTCCTTCTCTAAATTTTACCCCTGCATTTCCCACACAGGGGTGAGTCAAGTTGAAACGGCTACATCTTTCTCTAAATTCTACCTCTGCATGGCCCACAAAAGGGTGCGTCAAGTTGGAATGACCACTTCCTTCTGTAAATTTACCCCTGCATTGCCCACACAAAGGGGTGAGTCAAGTTGAAAAGGCAACATCCTTCTCTAAATTCTACCCCTGCGTTGCCCTTGCATGGCCCACAAAAGGGTGGGTCAAGTTGAGGGCCACTTCCTTCTTTAAATTTTACCCCTGCCTTGCCCACAGAAGGGTGAGTCAAGTTGAAATGGCAACATCCTTCTTTAAATTTTACCCTTGCATTGCCCACAAAAGGGTGACAAAGGGGTAGGTCAAGTTGAAATGGCAACCTCCTTTTCTAAATTTTACCCATGCATGGCCCACCAAAGTGTGAGTCAACTTGGGCAACATCCTTCTCTAAGTTTTACCCCTGCATGGCCCACAAAAGGGTGAGTGAAGTTGGAAGGGCCACTTCCTTGTCTAAATTTTCCCACTGCATTGCCCGCATAAAGGGGTGAGTCAAGTTGGAAAGGCGACATCCTTCTCTAAATTTGACCCCTGCATTGCCCACAAAAGAGTAAGTCAAGTTGGAGTGAGCACTTCCTTCTCGGTCGCCGGTCTTCGGCCTGGTCACCGGCCCGGTCACTGGTCCGTCTCCGGTCCGGTCTCCGGCCCGGTCTCCGGCCCGTCAGCGGTCCGGTCACCGGCCCGGCCACGGTCCGGTCTCCGGTCCGGTCTCCGGCCCGGTCACCGGTCACCGACAAAAAAAGTATATACTCCTTGAAGTTGGCGCGACGTTTGGGCCATCAAGCAATCTTAGGATTTCCTGCAAGAAGCGTTTCAAGGACGGATCGAAGAATGTCAAAGGGTATCTCTTTTGGCGCTGGGCTACGTAGAGACGCGCTGTTGATTTGTAGAATCGCAGAGGACATGTACGGTTACGCCATTAAAATATGTGGAGGGCGGCCCAGGGTTGACCCTCCCGGAGGTAGTGTATAATTCCTATTCTGTCCGTATGTTTGGGGGCGACGGGCGGCTCCGCATATTTAAATGTGCAGTTCCTTCATCATTCACAACAATAAAAAACAGCAGGATCTTGCCGGGCCTTATGTGGGGACCTTGGCTCCGCGCTAGACACCTCTCACAGTTTTTGCCATTGACCCCCCTTCATGTTTAACATCCCTGTGCTTTGAGTGTGGTTGGAGCTTAAAGGAGACTTAGAAGCCGGCCCCCACGGAATTGCGGTGCATTTTGGGAAAAGCCGTTTTGGAAACCAACCATGTAGGGGGGGGTCCAACCATGTAGGGGGGGGGTCCACATAAGAAGTGTCCACGTAAGAAAGTCCACGTAGAGGGATCCACGTAGGGGGGTCCACATAAGCAGGGTCCATGTAAGAGAGTCCACATTGGGGCTCCACGTAGGGGGTCCACATAAGCAGGGTCCATGTAAGAAAGTCCACGTAGGGGGCTCCACGTAGGGGGGTCCACATAAGCAGGGTCCACGTAAGAGAGTCCACGTAGGGGCCTCCACATAGAGGGGTCCACGTAAGGGAGTCCACGTGGGGGGCTCCACGTAGGGGGTCAACAGAAGCAGGGTCCATGTAAGAGAGCCCATGTTGGGGCTCCACTCCACGTAGGGGAGTCCATAAGCAGGGTCCACATAATCCCCACGTAGGGGGCTCCACGCAGGGGGTCCACATAAGCAGCGTCACATAAGACCGGCCAAGGCCTTCACGTGGGACCGGTGAAGGCCTCCACGTGGGACCGGCCAAGGCGGCCAAGGCCTCCACGTGGGACCGGCCATGGCCTCCACGTGGGACCGGCGAAGGCCTCCACGTGGGACCGGTGAAGACCTCCACGTGGGACCGGCCAAGGCCTCCACGTGGGACCGGTGAAGGCCTCCACGCGGGACCGGCCGAGGCCTCCCCGTGGGACTGGTGAAGGCCTCCACATGGGGCCGGCCAAGGCCTCCACGTGGGACCGGCCAACGCCTCCACGTGGGACCGGCCTCCACGTGGGACCGGCCAAGGCCTCCACATAGTAGGACTGAAGGCCTCCACCTGGGACCGGCCAAGGCCTCCACGTGGGACCGGCCAAGGCCTTCACGTGGGACTGGTGAAGGCCTCCACGTGGAACAGGCCAAGGCCTCCATGTAAGGCCTCCGCGTGGGACCGGTGAAGACCTCCACATGGGACTGGTGAAGGCCTCACGTGGGACCGGCCAAGGCCTCCACGTGGGACCGGTGAAGGCCTCCACGTGGGACCGGCCAAGGCCTCTACGTGGGGCCGGTGAAGGCCTCCACGCGGGACCGGCCAAGGCCTCCACGTGGGACCGGCCAAGGCCTCCACGTGGGACCAGCCCAGGCCTCCACGTGGTGAAGGCCTCCACGTGGGACCGGTGACGGCTTCCATGTGGGACCGACCAAGGCCTCCACGTGGGACCAGTGAAGGCTTCCACGTGGGACCCGCCAAGGCCTCCACGTGGGACTGGTGAAGGCCTCCACGTGGAACCGGCCAAGGCCTCCACATAGTGGGACTGAAGGCCTCCACGTGGAACCGGCCAAGGCCTCCACATAGTAGGACTGAAGGCCTCCACGTGGAACCGGCCAAGGCCTCCACATAGTAGGACTGAAGGCCTCCACGTAAAACCGGCCAAGGCCTCCACGTGGGACTGGGCAAGGCCTCCACGTGGGACCAAGGCCTCCACATAGGACCGGTGAAGGCCTCCATGTGGGACCGGCCAAGGCCTCCACGTAGGACCGGTGAAGGCCTCCACGTCAAAACCGGCCAAGGCCCGGTGAAGGCCATTTTGTGAAATGATTTAGGAAACGTATTTTTCCGCGTGTTTTTCCGGATGTTTTAATGGCTGGGCGGCCCCAGCAGATCCTTCACGGAGGTACACTAAAATACCTGTTCGGCTATTTTAAAATCCGCATATTTTATTGTAGTAACCGTAAGACAGGCTGGACAAAATGGCATGGTGCACAGCATGGCTCCGGGTCCATTCCTAGTAGAATACACCAAGGACCTGGTGGCAACCACAAGATCTTGATTCTTCTTGCCAAGAGTGGTGTCAGATTTGTAGCATTCTGCAGCAAACCAAGCGCATTGGGTCAAAACTCACGCGTTGAGTGTGTGGTCTTCGCAGCCCGTCAGCGATATTCTACGCATCGGGCGATCCGTTTCGCCGCTACGCCTCGGGTCGCAGAGACGAGAGACGGTCGCATTGGCACGATGAACGGGGCTTTCAGGTTTTAGGCACATATATCCCGTACCCAGACGCTCCATGGGACTGCCATAGGACTGCCGATCAGTTGGGGTGGTGCCAGGGGGTCAATGTAGGCATATATGGCATACATGGAGCGTCTGGGATATAGGTTACGCCTGAAGCATCCTTTGTAACACTGATTTCTGGCGAACCATGGTTTGGAGCACTTATTGGAAGTTTGAGCGTTAATTGAGGGTATGTAAACTTTTCAGGACATATGAGCGCTTTTTGGTGTTGTAAATTTTAAAGTCTACTGGTTCCTGACCAGTGTCCTTATCAACCCTTGTGGGTCTTTGGGGGCCCTATGGACCGGGTGGAAAACCTATATGACCTCTCCTAGTATGTGCAAATGAAACCACAAAGGTTTGGTTCTAACCTTCTGGGCGTGCCTCACAACAATTTTTCCAAAAAGGGTGCCCGCAACTTGGGCGCAAATTCCTGCAACTCTGGCCCAATTGTAAGAAGTGGCGGATGGTTTGTTTACTTAAATCTTATATGTTGATACTGAAGATCAAAGAAAGGGGTTGCTGGCTGCCGCTTCGTAGTGTGTGAACGTGTGTTGTGTGTGCATGGGATGGGTGCCAGCATGTGGCAGGGGAATTGACTTGAAGACCACATAAGGTGGAATGAAGCTACATCCGACTTTCCAGTGGTACGTTTTTTCAAGGCATGAACGCTTTTTTTGGATGATGTGCAGTTGTTTTTTCTGTCACTTTTGGAGGGTTCAGGCGATGTGGTTTTTCAATCATGGGGGTGACCACATGCCTAGCCAACCTTGAACTGTCGCGTCGGGTTTTCACCGTCCGGACGCCACGAAAAGCTGGGTGTTTGGAGGGAGACTGGTCGTGAGCAAGCAGTAGACCCAGACACGACCTGCCTGACACTAGTGTCGTATATGTGCTGAGAATAAGGCCGTTGGGGTGGTACTTTTGAGGGGCCAATGGTTCAGCATCTACGGCATGACATGGATTGTTTGGGAGATGGCAGCTGGCATCACCCCCTCGGATTGTTCCCAATCCCGCCAAGAAACGTATCACTCTTTTGGAGGATTGCATCGTCGATGTGGTCTCAGGTTTCAACAGCGCCATTGGCGCTTGCACTGGGCATCTCGCCTGGCAAGAGTTTTGCCATGTCTTGCCCAGCTGGTGAACCGTGCATACTTGCTCATGCTAAGTTGATCTATGTAGTTTGGTATGGGTTATACTAACGGTTTTATAGTAAAGGGATATGAGATATGAGATATGTGGTGTATTTTTTGTGTGTGCCCGGCTTTTGTGTCGGATGGGTTCTCATGATGTTCTATGGGTGGGTAATTTCCTGTTGTGAGTTTGGCCGGTGTTGTCGGCCACCACATTCGTCGCATCACACAACCAAGAGTTAACAATCTCCGATGCGCATTTGCCGACCCTCAACCATCCAACGGGAGAAGTGCCTAAGGAGGCATTGGCCTTGGTCTTTGCTTCTCCTCGGCACGCAGCGCGCGGCATGCTTGGCGCGCAGTTTGGACTGCAGTGTGGCTATGGAAGGCCCACACCTCAGGAGGGTGCTCTTTGGCAATCACTGGAGGCACCAACCTTCGAAGGTCCTTTTGCCTCAAAACTGATCCCTAGCGCCCCAAGTGCCTTCGTTTCGAAGGTGGGACTGAGGTGGGTGCCAGGGTCGGGTCCAGTCATACCGAACCTGAGGAGGTAACCTCCTGGAGCTGTAGATCTGATGAAGCAAGAACTTGATGACCTGTTTGCCTTCATTTCGCACATGCCGCCCTCTACGATGCGGATCAGTGGCGTCTGCTCTCGCATGGGGGGTCATAAGTGTGTGTCAATGTCCAACAGAGGTTTTCAAGAACCCTCGCTCGATTATCCCAGTTGGGTACCCCAGGTTATGGGTCCTTTTTCAGGTCACTTGTATAACCTTTGTTGGGTTATACTAGGTGAACTCCGGCGCAGCCAATCAAACTTTGAGGCCGTATTTGGGCTACGCCTGGCTGCAGGGCCCTGGCACCGGATGCACAACCGTGCTGTTGGATTGTTCGCCCTAGAACCGTCTCTGCCACGCCATTCGCGTGCGCCATGGGAAGGCCTTGCGCAAGCTCATTCCTGGCAGATGAGCCTCCAGCTGCTGGCAGCCTGGTCAGAGGCTGTTTGATCGGTAGAATCGAGCCGTCGTCTCATTGCTAGGGAAGTTTTCATGGCTCGCCGTCGGGTAGAACGATGAGTTCGCCCAAACCAGCATGTGAGGACACGATACAGGATGATGGACGCTATAGTTGGTGCATGTGGCTCTTGGGTGATTGAACCTCTTACAGTCATGGCCGAGTCTATCGGAAAGTTCCACGCAAACGCCGAAGCATTTTGTAGATGCATCATTCATACACATTCAAACCGTTTTCCTTTATCCTGATTCTGGTGATGCAATTCTATTTATGTCTACCTTGTGAAATCAGCAGACCTACCAGCGAAGCAAGCTCTATTGGGGCAAACCGCCCTGGTGTTTCTTCTCGGCTGACCCCGACGTCAGACGGACTGGACATCTGGGACCTGATTCGATCGCCTGTTCCAAGACCGAGAAGAAACACCATAGCATAGCATAGCTGGGGATTCATGAAAGTTCCAAGATGGCAAAGGTTGGGATGCATAGCTGATTTGATCGCCGCTGATGGGATTTTTCTGTGATTGGAGCATGGCTTGACTGGCCCAGCCTTGGTTGATTTATTGGAAGGGGAAGACTGCCAGGTCGTGAACAAGCAGTATACCCAGACACGACCTGCCTGACTGGGACTATAGTGTCGTATATGTGCTGAGAATACGGCCGGTGGTTTTGAGCGGCCAATGGTGCAGCACACTCCATGGCACTGTCATATTTGCCCACACTGGGGTGCTTTGAGGGGCCATTGTAGGCATGGCAGTCCCATGGAGTGGGTATGGCAGTCCCATTGCTCGTGTTTAGATTCTTCGCTGCAAGAGGTGAACCTGAAGATCCTTTGTGCGTGAACGCCTTTGCCAGTCATTTTATAGAGAGATTGGTCGATCGGAGCGAGGCGGCTCCGCTACGCTGAGCCCCCTTCGTGTCGGCGGTTCCTGTCCGAGAAGTTCGCACGGTCGTCCGAGAGAATCCTTCCCTCTGCCAGGCATTCTATAGACACGAGCATCTCTCGACTCAAATGCTCCGCACACGAATTTCTGGAAACCTGCAAAAACTGGAGGAAAACGTTTGAACCTGAAAATGTGGAAACCTCTGTCCCATGGACCGGACCAGCTCGCTGCAGGATGTGACGTTGACCATGCTTTCGTTGGGCGCCGACGCCTGCGCGGTTTCCGCGCAGCACGGGTCGACCGCGGAGCTGCTGGGGCGCATGGAGCCAGACCTTCAGCGCATCCTGCGAATGATCCGCTGAACAGCTGATCAGCGCAGGTTTTATGTGTCATGTCGTTTTACATTATATATATATATAATTAGACTTGCTTGGCAGTGCTGGATCATAGCTAAGAGCTGAAACACATGGCATTTTGCCTCCTGAGAGTTCACATGCTCATGTAAGTGGTTTGCCCCAATTCAGCTCACCGAGAACGCCTATAGGAAAGTATTGTCACACTGTCACACTTGACTTGTACCAGGAGCTTCTAAGTGACCACTTTGGAGTCTGTAAGTGACCTTTTACCGGCCTAAATGACCTCATCCTGGGATATCAAAAGGTCCCTGAAGGTCTTGGTAAGTATTATTTTTGGATGTTTTGGCGGATATTTTTTTGGGGTAGCCTGTTGTTGGCAACCATCATCCACGAAGATTGAGTGGTGACATGCAGTCGATTGACAAATCAGCGATGTCCTCTCCTATTGAGTGAACCTGCCCAACAGAAAAAGGAACAGGCACATCTCCTAAATCTGACAAATTGCATACATTCTGAATTCTGACAATCGGCAAAATTGGGGAATCAACCATATCTTCCACTCGTTTCACTTAATGTTTGTAATAGGGCGATTCCAGGTGTATTTTTCGTTGCCAATCGTTTGGAAAAAGACACCGGCATTATCGTTTTGCTGAAGCTGTGGGAATTGTCATTGGGATGTCGTGATTGGACTTCTCATCGGAAGATGAGGTCGCCGTTTGAGGATCTACAGGAGACCGTGCAGATCATATAGTTATTTAAAGTTTTCACACTTCCTCTTCGAAGAATCACGGTATGACACAAACATGTTGAACGATGAGCTGTTCATAGCTGTTGGGTGCCTTTGACCCTGCCTCGTTCCCTCAATATGTATTGACACATCATCATGTTGCTGAATGAGATGCTCATAGATTCTCCATAACTTGGGTCCATCATCTGGGATTCGATGACGTAGATATACGATGATATAGATGATCGATTCATAGACCCCCCCGAACATGAAGCGGTTTGACATGGCTTTTACACTCGACGCTGGGCGAGGGTTAGCCACACCCCGGACCCTAAAACTTCTACTACGCCGTGGGCGTCCTGACCATTTTGGGCGTCCTCGGAGAAAAAAACACAAAAACATAAGATCCATCCCCCAGGCATCCAAGTACCTTCTCAGAAGGTGATGTGTTTGACACTGTTATGCAGGTTTGAAGGGTCCAAGTACCTGCTGAGGTTCAGTAAGAATGAAATCCCTAGGGATCAGGGTCCATGTAGGTTGTCTCCTCCAGCTGGGCCGAGCTTCCGAGTGCTTCCAGCGGAAGGAAACACGCGCCAGGTTCGAGCGGTGGCCAGCGGACGTGTGGTGAACGGCTTCCTGGGAAGTGATTGGGCCACGAGCTGAGGCGGTCGATTCCGGGATGGGTGAGCCAGGGAACCACGCCCCGACGGATTGCTGGGACTGTCGGCCGAGAAGAGGCTGCTGGGGTGGTTGGAGGGGTCAATGGTGATCTATGGCAGTCCCAAAACAGGTCGTGTCTGGGTATGGCAAGAGGTCGAGCTAGCGAGCTCCCATTCGGCATGCGAGCTCGAGCGGCCCTCCTTGATGGTGAAAGGATGTGAAGGGCAAGTATAGATGTAAGTAGATACTCAGGTTGGTGGAGATGGAACTAAAACTTGAAATCATCGTACGTATAATATCGTGTAATATAGTCATGGTTCCGTGAACGGCACTCGGAAATTCAAATCCTTTCAGGGCCATGCCCACGAAACTATGATTGTTTCAGTGAGTGTGTGCCTTTCCAGGGCCCTATTCGAGGTCTATCCTCTTTAGCTATGGCCCTTATCGCCTTCTCGGGTGGGTCCTGGAGTTTCCACGGGCGGACGCTGGTGGGTTCGCCCGCCAGCCACTGTTCACGTGCGGACGAGTACGCGCGATGGCTAATCCCGATCAAGCACCTCATTGGCTTCTTTGCATCGTTCATTTTTTCCAGGTCAGTTTCACCTCATTGTGCTGGAGTTGATCATGACCCGGCATTAAAACACACGTTTAATTTTGAATTACTGAATGAGTCGAGGTAAAGGACTATAGGTTCTACTGGATCTTTGGACTTGGAAAGCAAGTTTAGTGACCTCCTGGAGGACCAGAGAATAGGTCGCCTGGCATTTGCTAGACCTGCACTGACGAAGACTTCAAGCTTGCACAATGAGGTTTTAGCCTTCCTCTATCGCTACCTGGAGCACGGCGCCTGGATTCTGCTGTGACAGTTCTACCGATTTCATCTTTGGAGTCTGGACGGACCAATGTGATCACTATCCCATAGGGTCCAGGTACCTCCTGAGGATGGCCTTGGAGGTGAAAGTACTTCCTGAGAATGGTCTTGGGGGGTCAAAGGACATCCTCAGGATAGTCCTGGACCCTTAGGGAGTCCTTGTAGCCCCTAAAACAGGCAGGGCCTGGCAAGGGCGTCCACATCAGCCGGATTCACATGGGCATCCCAGGAGCGTTTTGGTGCGCTTCGGGTTTTCGAGGTCGCCCTGGGGGTCCCACCGTTGATGGGATTTCGTATGGCTCAGGCCCAGAACTTCAAATACTATGAAGTAGATCGCGACTTGCGGCTCAGTCCGTCACAGCCACACCTTGGCAGTGAAGGCGGGACAAATACTATGAAGTATCAACCAGGAGTCACAGAGCTCGGAATATCTTGAAGTCCCATCCGGCTGTGGATGTGACGTGACAGGGCACCCCGACATCCTTCCTTCCTTCCTCCGTTCGTTCGGAAGCACCGACTGCTTTCGTTGGCAGCTGATTGACGGTACCCCCTCAATCACTCTTGGCAATCGTGTTGAGGCTGTTTGGAAACTTGCTTCCCTGTGAGCAGAACAAAGGAACTTCCAACGAACCTCAGTGTTGTACCTCAAAAATCTCTACACTCCAGCAGTTTCGAGGACATTTGCAACACCCTTGAGTTTTTTTTTTCAGGGTTTGTTCATGCTAGGTGATTCGTGTTGTTTCTTTTATCCCTCTCATGCCTTATAGAAATGAACATTAATTCAAGAATGCTGCGTTTTGACATCTTTAACCAGAGTCATGGTTCGGTCTGATATCGTTGGAACCGCACCCATGTCCTTCTCACCCAGGTGGGGCTTGTCTGTGGCCGGCTTGTCCGAAGTAAAGGTCCGGTGACGAAGTGACGTGTCGGCGGTTCCCGGAGATGGAGGTGGAGTAGAGTCGGGCCACCCACAAGAACAACAGTATGATGTCCAGAGTTTTTTGACGTGAGACATACCTTGCTTATGTGCTGTATATGTATAATTATGTGTGTGGTGTATGTGTGCATGTGATGTTTTAGATATATACATGCGTGCATAATATATAGATGTGTGAATGTGTGTTGCGAGCATCCTTAAGCTGCAATTGTTGTTTGGCATGGAAGACGATTGATATGCACCCAGACCATCCATCGGACTGGAATAGTCACACATTGACCCCAGTGATCAACCCCTCTTTTTAAGGTACGTCCCACCATCCACGTTTCGGACGGTGGGACGTGTTGGGACGGTTGGACGGTCCGAGTCCAGAAGGGAACCCGTTTTTCAACCTCGCCATCAAATCGTAGCATCCATTTGCACTCAAAGCCTTTTGAGGTGTTTTTTTTCAGTTGGACGGATCCGTTGGTTCGCGGAGAAAACTGTCGTAGAACAGTGGTGCCACTTAAGTCTCCAGGGCTTTGCATCCCACCTGGGTTGTGTTGCAGGTTCCTGGAGTTGAGCATCTCGGCTTCGAGGTTTGGGGCGAGTATCTGAGGCAAATGTTGGTAAGCCAAAAGGAGGCGACAGGATTTGAACCAATCAAAGACTGTGTGAGATAAGTCAAAAAAGGTGGAGTCCGTTCAGTCAGAACCTCCATTTTGTTTGCCTTGTGGGCGGCCTAAATGGATCTTATGTCAAGAAAGGCCTTATATATATTGTAAGGGCTTCGCCCGGGTGCCGCCGACCCCTTTTCAAGAGGAGTGTAGCATGTGCAACTGAAGGCGTTAGTGTCGTTCCGGTGGTTGCCCGTCTGCGGAAAGAAGATGGGTGTTCTAGCCTTAGGCGTGGCCTCGGACAGGCTAACTGTGGCCTGTGCTAAAGCCCACAAAGGTGGAGATGCCAAGGCCAATAAGGTTGCACTCTGCGAGGCGCCGGGAAGCGTCTGAGGGGGGCCGTCGCCTTCGGAAGCCTAGAAAAGAAGAGGCTGGCCTCGGCTGCTAGCACCGTACGTGGCAGCCCAGGCCATGCCAAGGCTGCGTGGCCTTGGACAGGGTAGCTGTGGCCTGTGCTAAAGCCCACAAAGGTGGAGATGCCAATGCCAAGGTTGCACCCTGCGAGGCGCTGAAAAACGTTTGAGGGGGGCCGTCGCTTCGGAAGCCTAGAAAAGAAGAGGGTGGCCTCGGCGGTTAGCCCGAGGGTCGGGTGAAGAGAAGAGGCAAGCTTCGGACAGGCCGGGGCAGGCCTGCCGGCTGCCGAGGAGCGTTTGAGGGCCGGGCCCGTGGGTGTCTACCGTTGCCTTCGGAAGCCCATAGAAAAAGCTTTGTGGGCCAAGCTGCGGCCTGCAGAAACGTTTGCGGGCGGGGCCCGTGGGTGAAGAGAAGAGGCAGGCTTCGGACAGGCTTCGGACAGGCCACAGAGAGGCCGGGGCAGGCCTGCCGGCTGCCGAGGAGCGTTTGAGGGCCGGGCCCGTGGGTGTCTAACGTTGCCTTCGGAAGCCCATAGAAAAAGCTTTGTGGGCCAAGCTGCGGCCTGCAGAAACGTTTGCGGGCGGGGCCCGTGGGTGAAGAGAAGAGGCAAGCTTCGGACAGGCTTCGGACAGGCCACAGAGAGGCCGGGGCAGGCCTGCCGGCTGCCGAGGAGCGTTTGAGGGCCGGGCCCGTGGGTGTCTAACGTTGCCTTCGGAAGCCCATAGAAAAAGCTTTGTGGGCCAAGCTGCGGCCTGCTGAAACGTTTGCGGGCGGGGCCCGTGGGTGAAGAGAAGAGGCAGGCTTCGGACAGGCCACAGAGAGGCCGCGTTGCCTTCGGAAGCCCATAGAATAAGCTTTGTGGGCCAAGCTGCGGCCTGCAGAAACGTTTGCGGGCGGGGCCCGTGGGTGAAGAGAAGAGGCAGGCTTCGGACAGCCACAGAGAGGCCGGGGCAGG